GTGACTTTTTCAATGGATTGGGAAAAATGCGCGATCTTTTTCAAAATTTGAAAAAAAAAATTTCAAAATTTGAAAGAAGTTTAACACGTCACTTTTTCAAAATTTGAAAAAATCATTTAAAAAAAAAATCTATTAATATACTCCACTTTCTTTTCTTTTTTTGGAAAGTTCAATATCTTTTTCCTAGTTTATGAAATTTCCATTTCTATTTTTATTTCTATTCTCCCAAAACTTTCTCTGTTATGGATATGGTACGTATTTTTTCGGGTGGTTATGGGTAGACCATAGTTAGTAAGTTTGGGGTATAGACTATTTCTTTCTAGAAAGATGAAAATTGAATTCACCTACTCAAAACTTATCTTGACAAATAGAATAGATAACCATCTTATGATTTAGAGTTATATCACATTTAATATTTGAAATTTATATTTATAAGGAGGTCGTTTTTATACCGAGTGATATATATAAAGTGAAAGCATTACTCCTAACTACTATTAATTTTTTCTCTACTGAGTGATATATATTTTAGAGTTTCAAAATTTCTAATATTTTAAATATATCTGATTTTTTTACTCCGATTTTTTTAGCCTAGTCCAGTATATTTGCGATCTCTTTACATGAAGTATTTTTGCCTATCCATACTTTTTGACCAGATTTTTTTATCTGACTTTTTAAAATAAAAACGGTTAGTTTCTTATTTCATGGTGAGCCGATTTATTGATAATCCTTGACTTGAGAACTACGGTTTGAACTAGTGTTCGCCAAATCGAATCGAAAAGGTTAACCGGACTTGGGGCTGGGAGCGGTTAGAACCGGAACCGGATGAACCGAGGCAGTTAACAGGACTAACCAGTCAAGTAGAATTTTTTTCCTTTTAAATGAGTCAAAACCCCCAAAAAATGAAATAAAAAATAAAAAATAGAAAATTTTAGATTAAGCGTATAATATATTATTGCATACATTTATCTTACAAAAAAAATATATATAAATTAATATTTGAATACTATGGTCATGTTCATGTTCCCAAGCAGGTCACATAAAACTTTTTGTTTCCTAGAATGAAGTCTGGTAATAAGTTTATAACACCTTAGCACAACTGTATTTCCCCAATGTAAATATGCACTCTAGATATTCATGTGTTGCACAAACATTACATTAGTCTATGTTTATTACTAAAAAATATAAGCACACATATATGTTTACATACTTCAGTTTCAAGTTTTACAACAATTCAAGATACTGCTGATCATAATTAGAAACAATGGAAAAAAAATTGATCCACCAACTATTACATGTCTATCTAGAATTTCATTGGTAAAATACAAGATGTCACAAGGTAGAGAGGCCGATACATATAGGATTTGTCATGTTAATCAAAACAACATATTTTTATCAAAATAAATAATTTTATCAAAAATATTATTTTATTTAGAAAAATAGAAAAACACTTTCTATATTCATAAAAAATAATAATTTATTAAACAAAATATTTTTTTTTTGAAAAATCGATTTCTCAAACACTTCTAAAATCGAGCAACATTTCAAGCAAGAAACAACCCTCAATGTTCAAATAATCGAACAAATCACGCAAGCATTGTAAAGGCTTCCACCACCCTTTCAAATGCCCCAAAAATCATTAAAAAAAAAAATCAGCATTATTTTTTATTTAATTGCAAAATTCATGAAAAGTTTAGATCTGTGAAATCAAGCAAGAAAAATATTTATATAAAAAAAATTACGCAATAATAGATGAGCATACCTATTTTATGTGATAGACGAAGCCTTGACGATCAAAATACATAAATCAATTTGATAAAAAAACGACCAAAAAATCGATCCAAAATCTATTTTTTTGCATTGAACACAGGTTCTTTGAACAACATCTTTTTCGGGCCAAAATCAATCCCCAATATTATTTTTTTTGATCAAATTGAAAGAGGTATATGGTAGATGATTCGATTAGAATTAAAAACCCTCAAATTTCAGCAAAAACCATTGACTATTGAAGATGCTATTGATGAAATGACGGAAATTTCAAAATGCATGAAAATCAACCATTTCAATCCAACAAATCTCTTGATTTTTCAATCTTGGATTCCAATTTTCTATTTTACAGAGAATAAAAAGTGTTTAACCTCTATAAAGCATGAAAAACGCCAAAACTGGCAAGAAAAAGAATACAAAAAAGCTTGAAAAAATCAACATGTGAAATTCCTGCGTCAAATAGCGGCTTCAATTAAAAATAATGGAAAAACCCATTATATTCTCTCAACGGTCCGGTTAGCATAAAAACTGGCCAGTTTGATCAAAACACGGTCGGTTCGCTAGCAAATTTTAGGCTTAAAATTTTATGGGATTGTACCTTAGGCTAGGATATCCTTAAAACCGCCACTTACCAAACTCAAAACCTTAGCCGTTCTAAGCTAACGGGCCGGTTTTTCTAACCATCGTATGAACCGTGTCGGTAGCGCCAATAACGCTTTACTGGTTTCTAGCTATTGAGCCGAAATTAGATTTCGGTCGTAGTCTGCGGAAATTTAGTGGGCATTAAAGAGTGGAAAGGAAGAGTTATTGGTTGGGCAGGCCAAAAGATCGCATTCGCACGGGACCTCACGCCGCTCATTCATTCCTTCCTTCCCCCTCACTTCTCGTGCATGCCCCTTCGCCCGCAATTCTCTCTCTTTACTCTCTCTCTACAGCAGTGTTCACAGTATTGGACGGGTCGAGCGGGACCCGGATGGATTACCTAGAATCAGCTACTAGCTGCGGCTGATTAGGGTTGTCATGTCAGGAATTAAAAATAAAATATATATATATTTATAATAGTTTTTTTAAAATATTTTGAATTGTTTTGAAAAAGATTAGGAATAAATACTTATTTTTACATATATTTTTAAAAAAAAAATTTATTTGGACCCCTAAACATAAATTGATTTTTCAAAATCTTTGTTTTTTTTACTAATGTAATCTCGTTTGAATGTATTTTATAAGGTTGCAACCTTAAAATGTAGAATTACATATGCACCTCAAAACTCCATCAAAAAATATTGTTTTAATGTTGAAAAAACCTCTAATTGATCATCTCGACATCAAGATGTATGAATATGAATAATAATAATAATTTAATCCCAGAAATATTACATCTTCCAATACATTATCTAGGCCATCTATTTTTATTTTCGTATATTTATAGATCTACTTGATTTTAACCATTTTTGGAGTTTAAAATTTTATAATTATATATAAAAATAGATTTTGAGATAATCCTAAGAATTTTTTTCACTAAAATTACATGTTATGATAAATTTGAAGGTGCAACTTAATTGGATTGTTTAAGGTTGCAACCTTATAGAAACCGCACCTTTTATTTAAAGGTGAGATGTCTATAAGATGTCAACCTTAAACAATCACTATAAGGTACACCTCACAATCTCATTAAAAGATGTATTTTAGATGCTGAAACTTTTAGGATTACATTAAAATGTATTTTTCACCTCTATTATGAAATTGAAAGCTCAAAAAATAGTACAAATCTAACAAATTTATGAACACTTACATATCTTGAGAATGAATGGTCTAGATAATGTATTACAAGATGTATTATTATTAATACTTGAAATTTAATTTTTCTTTCATATTAATACATAACGAAGTGGAGATGATCAATTTGAGTATTTTCTAATGACGAAACAACTTTTTCTGAGTTTTGAGGTGCAGTTTACTTATATATTATAAAGTGGACACCTTATATAAACTTTTTTTTTTTTTTTGTTTAATTATATTTGAAACATACTTCTCATATATATTTTGAGAATTGTTTAGATTCTTTAATGGCTAGGACCTGTCGTGACCCAGCCATGACAGGTTCTATTCCCAAGCCATATTAATAAATGACTAAACGCCTGATCTTATCTTGTATTCATTTTATCCTAAAAATCAGTCCTCGCACCAAGGGACACAGAGAGAGAGAGAGGGAGAGGGAGTTTTTGCCCCTAATCTTAGAGAGAGAGAAAGGGATCTTGGGTATATATCCTCTCAATTTGCCATTGGGAATGGTTCCGGCCGGGCCAGTTTGGGCCCTCCTAAAAAATATAGGTTTTGGACTAGAAATTTGGCCAAGGTCTAGGCTAAGCCACTGGACCTTTTTTTTTTTTCTATATCTATTTATTTATTTTTAAGCCCCGGACCCAGGGGCCTTGTAAGGACAAGAGCTGAGCTATAAGCATGGCCCAACCCAGTCAAAAAGATGTTGGGGTTTTGCCCCTCCATATTGAAAGAGAAGACCCCTCCTACGAGAGAGACTTTTTGCCTCAAATCTTAAAGAGAAGATAAAAAGGAAGGGAACGAGAGTTCGATATCCCCCTCATATAAAGAGGGGAAAATAGATGTGGCCTCGGAAGCGGTTCAATTGTCGGAAGCGGTTCAATTGGTCTAACTGGTAAATCGGCTCATTCAAGGTTCTGACTGGTCAAGTCTCAACGGTTAAAAAGGTGTTAAAAAGATAAAAAAATACAATAAAATATGAAAAATATATTGTAAAAAATATTAAACAAAGCACATCCAAATGAAATTGAAAATTAATAAATAAAATTTGTTTTTAAAGAATCGATTTGTACTTAAACGTATTTTTAAAAGTTTAAAAATTACGATAAAAAATATAAAAATAAATATTAAAAAATGACATTACAAACAAAATCTATTATTTTTTAGATTTATTTATTTTCTTATTTAAAATATCCCCTCCGTCACCACAACCAACCAAAATCGGAAACAACCATTCCGATCTAACCGAGCAGTTTAGATCGCCTGGTTTTTACTTCCAATCGTAGATTTTTGCCATCCAGGGAGAGATCGGTTCCCATAAATTATGTAAGGGAAACCTAGAGAAAGAGAGATTTATGTGGGCTTTTACTACTTTTATCCCGTAGGTTCTATAAACATTGAGCCAAATTCTTCAAAATTACAGAATTTAATGGGGGTAAAATCCTATGCAGTAGTAATGGCACAGCACAAAAAGAGACCTTTTTTAAAATTCTTTTTTCCACCAGTCAACGTTTGCGTTGGAACCTCGAAATCAAGCCCCAGCCCATTAATATTTCCTATTGTCTCTCTCTTCTCTCTCTATAAATATATTACTATTTTCTGTTCCCTCTCTCTCTCTCTTCAATCTCGCCATTTTTTTACCCTAAAAACTCGTAGAAGAAGCTTTCTTTTCCCGTGTTTTGAATCTTTCATAGATCGTATGGTTCCTCATGGCCCCCTATACACCCCACAACAATGGATTCCCTCTCCCCATTTCTTCAATCTTCTTTCTCTGTGGGTGCCTCCTCTCTTTCTCTCTCCTCCCCACCTCTCTCTCTCTAACTTCCAGGAAACTCTCCTCCAACACCACCACCACCACCACCACCACGACCACCACCAAGACCATATTAATAGCCTCTGGCGTATCAGTCCTACTGCTCATCCTTCTCTCTCTAATGACTTGTTTTACTTGTTTTAGAGTGAGAAACAAATGGAAGAAGAACAGGGGAGGAGAGAGAGTGGCCCCAAAGGAAGAAGAGGAGGTTGCAGGGGAGCTGGTGAGGAGGTTTAGTTGGAGAGATGTGGAGGAGATGACCAGAAATTTCAGTTGTGTTATTGGAGAAGGTGGGTTCAGCACTGTGTATTTGGGGTATTTGTGCAGTGATTCTTTGGATCATGGAGCGGTGAAGGTGCACAGAGAGAGTGAGAGAATGAAGAGGGTGTTTAGGCAGGAGTTGGAGGTTTTAATGGATGTTCGCCATGAAAACATTGTGAAGTTTCTGGGTTACTGCGATGAGAAAGGTGAGGGTTCTCTCTGTGTCACTTGGGATCTGTTTTTTCTTCCATCTTTTCAATGCCTCTCTCTCTTTCTCTCTCTAAAAACACACAAGAAATTTTCCTCATTTTAGGTAAATCCTATAATCCATGGGTCACGGGGCTCAACCTCCGGCCAAGCCAATTAACTCGAACTCGCCCGAACTATTCCGCTTGACTCGATTAGAGTCAGGCCAACAGAAAAAGTGTAAATAAATAAAACAAAAAAGAAAATTAGGTTTAAAATAAAATTAAACAGTAAACATGTAAATGAGGTTAAAAAAATAAAAAAAAATGGATTTTGAAAAATCAATATGTGGCGGGGCATTTTAAACGAAATCCAAAAAAAAAAAAATACAAAATAAGTATTCATAGAAAAAACACTTTCCATTTAATATTTGTCAAAATGGTAGAAAATATTTTATAAATAAGTTTCTTATTTTTTAAATTTTTAGAAAGTTTTTAATTTTCCTCTAAGATCAGTTTCTTGAACGAATCCGAGTCAGATCGCCCAAGTTAAACACTAATCTCTCCCCTCTTAAACACAAACCCTCGTACCCTAATATCTCGCACTCGGTTTTTTGCTCTCTCTCTGTAACGCATGCAACACATTCTCTTTCTCTCTCTTCCACACGTGCAGATGAAGGAGCCCTGATCTTTGAATACGTGCCCAATGGAACCCTTCACGACCACCTCCACACCCTCTCCACGCCCCTACCTTGGCAATCTCGCACGAGTATAGCCCTCAACCTTGCACGTGCCATCGAGTTTATACACGACCGGTGTACCAAGCACATAGTCCATTGCGACGTAAAGCCCTCTAACGTTCTCCTCGACCAAAACCTAAACCCCAAGCTCTGCGACTTTGGGTCCGCACGTGTGGGTTTTTCCTCCACCATTCTCAACACGTGCGAGGGGAGGCGGGCCCCGGTTGTGGGGTCACCTGGTTATGTGGACCCCCACTATTTGAGAACAGGGATTATATCTAAGAAGAACGATGTGTATAGTTTTGGGGTGTTATTATTGGAATTAATTACTGGGATTGAGGCTTTTTGTTCGGAAAAAGGCAGGCTTTTGGCAAAATTTTCGGTGGATGACCTCAAGGATGTGAAGATTGTGGATGAGAGGGTGAAAGGGAATTTTGAGGAGGAAGAGTTTAAGGTTTTGGGGTCCATTTGTGAGGCCTGTTTTAGGGAACAACCAAGTTTGAGGCCTTCTATGAGTGAGATTGTGAAGATCATGGAAGACAAGGTTTCTTTTACTTTTAATTTGGAATGCAAGGTACAAAAAGTGTAAAATTGTGGGTTTTTTTTTTTTTTTTTTACCAAAAAAAAAAGGGGTGATTTTTGGTTGGATGCTTGGGCTGGGGAGCTCGGCCCAGTACCCAGTACGGCATGGGCTATAGTTTATTGCCTGGGGGGCAGGCTAGGGCCGGTGCTGGCCCAATTCAACTACGAGTCCATTTTGGTCTTTTTATTTTTTTTTCCTTGTTTTTTTTTGTTTTTTTTTCGTTAATTTTTTGTCCAACCCGCCTGGCTCAGGTCTGGTCCGTTGCCACCCCATTGGGTAGATTGTAGAAGGGTCAAGGTGTAAATTGGTGGTGGTTACGCTCAAATACATTTGGCGGTGATCATGTGTTCTTTCGGATACATGTTTCTTTTGTTGTAAAGAAAATGTGTACATTAGCATGTGGCTTATAATAATGGAATATACTTTATGCAGAGGTGCCCTCCCTCTCCCTCTCTTTTTTCCGCTTTTCTTTTTGGGCTTTTCTCTTGAACTTTTTTTTTTTTTTTAATTAGGTGGATTGGAGAGAGAAATAATTTTTTTATTTCTTTTAAGAGGTTTTGGCTTAAAAAATTAGTTAAAAGTAAATGTATGGCCGGACAAAAGAGGATAAAAATTAAAATAAAAATTGAGTTCAGTCGAGACGAGGATATTGAAATGGATTAATGGCAAGACAAAAAGGGATAGAATTCGAAATGAATATATACTTTCGATAGATAATAAGATTAGATAAAGTAGATTTAGGTAAAATGTTTATAGCAATATAGATAATTGAATTTGTTCAAGTGAAAGGTTAAAAAAAAGATAAAAATAAGTTCATGTAATGAAAAATAATATGAAAAAATATGGTGATTTATAACCGTATTGAGAGTATTTACTTTTAATAGAGTAAAACCTTAGATACGAAATAAAAAATTATACAGCCCATCTCTAATAATTAAAATAAAAAAAAAAAAACTTCCACGACAATAGTGACAATTATGTTGAAATGGTGTAAGGTCCCTTGTACGGAAAGAGATCAGGGTTAACGTGTAGGCAAGGCAAGGTAGTTGGGGATGGGTACAGTTTGAAAATAAGAAATGTTGGTATTGAAATGTGGCTGTCTGCCTCATCGTGTGGTGTGTTGAATTTGAGAATGACGATTGATGAGGGTGCCCACCTTGTAGAGAGTGAGAGAGATTCACTGTTTTCTCGACCGCTCCACTGAGCGAGATACAAGTCTGCCCCTCTCTCCCTCTCCCTCTCCCTCTCCCTCTCCCTTGCCCGCTCACATAGTGGCAAAGATTATTATCAATGTTGTCATATTTTTGGAATCTTTTTTGGTTGGTTGAAAAAAATTAAAATAATTCTGTGTTTCTGCCTATTTGAGGGGGAGATTTCAAACTTTTTTTAAAAAAATATAATTATTTATATAAATAATGAAAAAATAACATTAAAAAAATTAAAAAAATTTAAAAAATAAAATAAAAATACTTTTATATAGCTACTTGTTTGATGGCTGAAGCAAATCCGAACCTGACTGAAGTAACCCGAATCTGACCCAAACAGCAACACCAGTTTTCATTTTGCTTTGGTTTATATGCTTAAAATCTGAAGTCTTCGGCCGTAGCAAAGCGAATTTGATAATGTTGATTATTATATGCTCCAATGGAAACATATTGTACTTTTACTCTCCTAGGCAGTAGACCGGTTTGAGAGGGTTTTTTTGGTCTAAAATTTTGGAACTACCTAAATATCACTAGATAATTATTATTTTTCGAAAAAAAATTATATAAGGTTGTTATTTTATATTGTAGAATTAACGTGCATGTCAGAAATCAATTAAAAAAGGTTGTCTTAATGTTGGAAAACCATCCAATTGATTAGATGTGGATAAAGAAAAAAAAATTTCTAAGTCTTAAAAATAATACATCTTGCAACACATTATCTGGACCGTTCATTGTCAAGACTTTCATATGTTTATAGATCTGCTTGATTTGAACCATTTTTTTACTTTAAAACTCTATAATTAGATATAAAAATAGCATCGGGCCATTCTAAGAATGCCCAAATTGCATCTTGGGACAAATTTTTAGAGGTCCACCTTACTTTGATTGTTCAAGATTGCATTCTTATCGCAACCACATCCTTATTTTCAGTTTAAAAAAAAGGATGTAGATTATGAGTTCTCTAATATTTAGATGTCACCATACATTGTATCTCTATTCGATCTTGAGACATTGTTTTCTTTCTTTATAATGGCATAGGGTCTAATTTGAAAATAAATAAATAATATTTAGACTATTTTACACAATGAAAATGTTACATCCCCAAATTTGGGGTCCTAAAAGTACTTGTAGTTTGCGTTTGACTCAAGGGAGTAGACACACAATACGCTCCCACAGGAGCGAGTAACTTTTAGGCATTAGTGTAAGGAAGAAGTTTATGTAGGCTCAAAAAATCAAATTAGGGTTTACATCAAAAGAGGTTGTTTTGATGCTCAAATATTCTCAAATTGATCATCTTGACATCAAGATGCATGGACATGAGAAAAAATTGGATTTCAAGTTTTGGAAATCGTGCATCTTGTAATGCATTTTTTACTGTCAATTTTAAAGATTTTTAAGTTTTCATAGATCTGTATGATCTAGACTATTTTTAAAGCTTTAATTAAATATGAAACCATATTTTAAGGCTATCACAAAGATTTTCAGTATTGAAACTATATTTCTCAATACTATTTGAAAGTGCACTCTATTTGGGTTGTTTAGAACAGTTTTCCCAAAATCGAAATCAGATATGGGCTTGAAAACAGTTTAACCGGCCTAACTGGTAAACCGACTGATTCAACTACTCTAATAGGGCAAATCCTGCGCGGTGAAAAAATATTAAAAAAAAAAAGATAAAAAAAATCTAAAATATGAAAGCATATAAATAATAATTAAAACAAAACACTTTCAGTTGAAAATTAATGAAAAACTGAATTTTAACGAATTGATTTGTGTTTAGGAGTATTTTTAAAAAAAATTGAAAAAAATAAAAAAACATAAAAGTGAGTATTAATGATCAAAATAAATTTTAATTTTTAATATAATGTAAAAAAAATATTATAAATCAAATTTCTTATTTTTTTAAATATATATATATTTAAATTATTTTTTAAATACCAATTAATAAAAAAAAATCATTAACCAATTCCAATCTAACCGAACAATTGATGATTAGGTCGTCCAATTTTGCGAACACTAATTTAGAGCCTCTGGGTACAAAACCGCACCTCTATTGTAATTCTAAATTCTCTCTCTCACACAATCACTTTCCTCTCTGTGAAAACGACTTTAAGGTGACGTGCTTGATGCTCTTTTATTTATGCTCGGTGCACTAAATTTCAATAATTTATCTTTCACGCTTTTCCACGCGGATGGATGACTAAGGCGCCGTTGCCAACCACATAAAGAAAGAAAGAGAGAGAGGGAGAGAGAGGTGACTTTAAAGCATGAAATGATTCAATTCCTTCGACACTCTTAAGTAGGTCGCACGTTGTCTGCACGTGCTCCGTTCAAATCGGATGGCTGAGATTTCTCTTTTGATGACGTGGCTTCTTATCCCTCAATGGTGGGTACCCATGCCAATTGGGATCATCCTAGCCGTCGATTGGTGGTGGGGCCATGAACAAGCTTTTGGGGCAAGAATCACGTGCGACATGTGCCAACATGCTTGTGTAGTGTCCTACTTTGTAGAGGTCTACATTGTGACAAAAGAAGGTGGGACAAATCATTGGAAGTGAGATGTGTATGCTCAAAAGGGCAGAAAAAGGATGAAAATCCCTGCAACATGTGAACTGTGATGTAAAGGTTGCTTGGGTGGCACACTACATTACATTGCATCTAGTCTTGCCTAAGAATAATAGGAAAGGGGCTGGGTCATGGTTCTTTACTTTCCATTCTTCATGAGACCACCCATTACAAA